AGCAAAAAGACTGTACAACGCCATGGCAAGGATATTGATGACCGAGGATCCGTTCTTGCGCTGCCAGTGGAACGAGGACAGCTGCCGGATGACCTTCTCGGTGTCGCTGAAGCTGGGCACCTTCTCGGGGCTCAGCAGGTCGCGCAGCACGACAACATCGTTGAACGCGACGGTCATGCCACCGCCGGTCAGCGGGTGACGCATGTTGAGGGCATCGCCCAGGATGACCAGCCCGGGGGTCTGGTTGCGCGCACTGGGCAGATAGGAGTTGGGCATGGAGCGCAGCGGGCCCTTTTCGAGGGCAGCCTCGAAGGAAGGGCGGACGGATTCCGGCAACGAAGGGAGGACGACGTTGCGCATGTGGGCTTTGACGCCGCCGTTCTTGACGGAGGCCGAGGGCAGATTCTCCGGGATATCGATCAGGATGCGGGTCTCGTGGGTGCCGATCTGGTAGATGAGGATCGGGGCATCGTTGCTGAGCAGCACATGGCCGTAGTAGGGTTTGGGCATGACGGGGTCGATCAGCTCCAGCCCCCAGAAGCGCGAGCGCACCTCGGGGGTGCGGGCGTGGTGTTGCTTGCGGAACTTGGAGGCGTAGCCGTCCGCCACGACGGTGAGGTGGCCGAAGTAGCAGTCCGCCTGGCCGTCCTTGGTCACGCACTCGACACCCAGAACCTGCTTGGTGTGCGAGCAAGTGACCAGCTCCGTGGCCTTGGTCTCGACCACCGTGACATTGGGGCACGCCAGCGCCGCGCCGCGCAGCTTCATCACGAACCGGCCGTGGTGGAAGGAGCGGCCCCGGGGCGGCGGCGTCGTCGGCGAGGCCTGCGAGTACGGGATCTCCACCGGCTGGCCGTGGTATGTGATGTAGTACCCCTCCACGGGGATCGCGTCGATCTCCTCCAAACAGTCGGCGAGACCCAGCTGCTCCAGGGCCTGGACACCACCGGGTTGCAGCAGTTCGCCCACGATGCGATCGGGCTCCTTTAACGAGTTCTCCAGCAGCAGCACACTCCGGCCTTGTCTCCCCAGTGTCACGGCGAGGGCGCATCCGAGAATCCCGGCGCCGACGATGACGACGTCGCCGTGGTGGTGGATCTGTCTCCGTTGTTTGGCCGCATCGGCGGAGGGGGTGGCGTGGCCATTGGCGACCGCGGTGGCCATTGTGCGATGAAAGAAGGCGAAAGGGGTCAAATTCGACGAGACGAGGCAGTTCGAAAGAGAGGGCAGGGCATATTTCGTCTTCAACACGGGAGAAGAGTAGTCAAAAGGGAGAGGTGGCTGGTTTCGAGTGAGATGAGAAAGGGGGGGGGGGTTGTTTGGAGAAAGAAAAAGTGCGGGCGGAGAGAGAGACTGGCTGGCCAACAATGAGTGAGTGGCGTGACACCCTGACATGTGAAAAAGAATAGTAGGAACGGCGGCTATTCCCAACTCAGTAATTTCAGGCACCGTACGATCCTTTCTTACCTCTCTTACCTCTCTTACTTTCCTCGGATTCATCGCAGTAAACATCGACTCATTCTCCTACTATAGAGCCCATAATCAATTCAAATTGGTATCTTCCCCTCAGAACCGTCATTGACTCTGACACCGCTATCGTACAATACAATAATCCCCAAACTGATTGGTCCCCCCGTAAACCTACCCACCTATATACATAAACACAATATGATGAAGATTGTGAATCTTTCCCCTCCCAGCTGTAGTAGGACATAGCCTAGAAAAGGGCACTCATAATCAACCCCTTCAATGGCATCTACCATCTGTCAAATCATTGTTCTTTCTCTCGCTCCTGCCCCTGCTCGTGCTCTTCTCTCTCTAGGTCGCCCTCTGTCCACTCGAGATCCAGGTACTGCTCCTCGGTAAGGTTGGCAATAGCCCGCACGCGAACATTTTGAATCTCTCCCAGCGCGGCGTGCAATTCATATTCCTCGTCCCACTCGGTGACCGCTCTGTCTACTTCATCCAGTCGGTAGGCTTTGATCGCCGTAGGGGGACGCTTGATGATGTTGCGCCGGAGATTCTTGAGTCGGGGGTTGTGTATCAGATCCGACATTGAGTCATCCTTGCCTTCGACCTTCCGGACAACCATGTCGGCCACGTGGGTGAGATATTCCTCCCGTTCGATCATGTAGTGCATGTTGGTCAGGTTACTTTCCGTGCGGTGGCGCAACCGCCCGATGATCCGCCGCACTTCGATGGTGAAGTCAGTGCCGATGTTCGGCCAGGTCAACGCCGTCATGAGGCACCACCGGACACCTAGCGGGTTGTCGGCCAAGGTAAACGCCCGCAGAAACATCTTCAGACAGGGCCCATCGAAGGCCAGGGTTTTCCGGTGGCGGGACATATAGATCGCGGACAGAAGCTCGATGGCCAGATCGGGCTTGTCTTCATGGATCAGACGCCGGCAGAGCGCGACCAGCATGTGGTGCTTGACGACCATGTCCTTCCCGGACGAGCAGATGTCATAGAAGCGGAAGACTGCGAGTTTGATGTGTTCGTTCGTAGCCTGCGTGTCAATCTCCGTCACCTGGCGGAAGTACTGGGGGAGAAACCGGGTCACGTTGCGAATGCTCCTCCAGTCGGAATCAATCAGCTCTCGGGCTGCCTGGATACCCTTCTCGATGATAGTAGCGATGACGGCCAGCTCCACGTGCACCTGCTTGAAGTGAAACCTGGCAGCTTTCGCAGCCTCGTACCGCTTCAACGCCTCGACGAACTTGCCGTTATGCATGTAATGCGCCATCACCCGGTGGACTTTCTGATATTGATCCACCGGCCTCGACGTCTGTGTTTCTTGCTGCATCCGTTGGAAGAAGGGCAATGAGTCCTCGGTGAACGGCATCTTGTTGACCTCCGGACTCGGGAAGGAGTGTTGATCATACCCCAGGATCCGCTGTGAAGCGGCAGCTTGGCCGTACTTCATGCGCGCGGCTTGCAGCATCTGCCAGAAACCGATCGGTGAATGCTCGAGCGCGTGGCGCCGGGATCGCAGCATTTCCAGGAATGCAAATTCATCCATGAGTTTCGGCCATTGGCGTTCCTTGGCGAAGCGCAGAAACTCATAGACCATCTCCCGATCGCCCTTGTGCACCAAGGCCTCCAGAATGTGCTTGTACAGGACCCGATCGGGGACGATCTCGAATTCGGTTAAGTAGCCATACAGCCATGTCCGGATCTCCTCCGCAGTGTGCGTCGGCCAGTATTCGAGGAAGATGCGGTCAAAGACCGGGATGAAGTCGGCCGATCTGTAGACCAGGCGGAGTTGGTGCATTTCTTCGAAGCCGGCACGAACGCCCTCCCAATCGCACTCCAGGGCCTTGCCAAGCAACAGGAGCCCTTTGGTCCGGCAGCGAGGCGGGATTCCATGGTTCCGCGTCATTTCGTTCGCCAGGGCTTCGGCATCGGCGAGGCGGCCGAACTCAACGTATGCCTTGATGACCGGGTTGAACAGTTTATCGGTAGGCTGCTTCCCGAGGCGCATGAGGACCCGCAACAGCTTGCTCAGTTGACCGTTGAGCAGCTCTATGCTTCTCGTCTTCCTCCAGAGTCCCGTCAGGTACGCTCCGCACAGGCCACAGCCGCGATCATACTGTAGATTCCGGAGAAGAAACCACTTCGCCGTGGTCAGTCGGTGCGACTCGACCAGACAGCGGAGCACAATGTCGATCATCTCCGGCGAGGCCTTAAATCTGTGCATGTAGCGCGTGTAGATCGCAGCCGCAGACTCGATGGCACCTTTCTTCGCCAGCGTCAGAATCATGGTCCTCCACATCTCAAACGAGACCTGGTCCACCGCTTCCACCCGCTCGAAGACATTCCGCGCCAGATGCACATTCCCGGCCTTGCAATTGGCGAAGAACGCTTGTTCCGCCAGCTGCCGTCGTTCCGGAGCCAGGTGCTGGTGTGTCTCGGGGTGCGTGTCGAGAAACAACTGCGCCGCGTACACGGGGCGGTCATTGGTCAGCAACCATTGCATCTGCCACGTAACCGGCTGGTCTTCCAGAGTATCCATCAGCGCCTTCTCATCCGTAAGACTATCCCCAAATGTGCCAGGCGCGACCTTTTGAAACTCGCTCGCGCTACTGCCGCTACTGCCAAGGGAGCCCAGGCCATCAGCGAGCCCAGGAGTCTGCACCTGCGGGTTCATCGGTCCCGGTCTCGTATCTTTCAGCAACTTCTCCACCACAGCGGACGACGACGCACTACTGTCACCACCACCACCCGGTAAGGGGATATACATGTCCTGAAAGGAATTTGTCGTTGTTGTTGTTGTTATTGTGCGGTCGGACGAATGATTGTTCACTTCTGGCGTTGGCGTTATCGTTGGTGTTGGCTGTGATGCAGCACAACGATCCTGGTCCTTCAGGGACTCCAGCCCCATAAACTCACCGGCCTCGGCGGCCTCCATCATGCGAGCGAGCCTTCTCGCGGCGGCCGTGGCGTCGTAGTTGGGGGCGGAGGCATGGAGAGCGCGCTTATTCTCGACGATGCGTTCGGCAATGGTGACCCGGCGGTGCACATCGTATGTCACGGCTGCAATGGTACAGAACCCGCCCACCGTAGATCCGGCGAGAGCCAGCCGTCGTAGGACTCGAAGGGCGTTGCGCGAGGGGACGGCCGGTGTTGTGGTGCCGCGGGCGGCTGCTGCTGATTCGGGGGTCATGATGGTCTGATTTCAAGGCATCGCAGACCCGTGGAAGACTGCAGCACCTATACCATGAGCACAGGCAGGTCTATGAGGTCGAGGTGACCGAGAAGGGTCAATGGTAAGACCTAAGAGGAGCCCACGGGGAAGACAAGTGGGGGAGGAATAGAGGGGGGGATGCCAATTGAATCCAAAGTCGAGATGAGGGCGGACAATTATTTTGCGGGAAGGTTTGCAAAGCGAAGTTGGGTGGAGGCACCATTTTGGTCGCTCCCGTCCGCCCTAGTCCAAACTACCGCACTTCCGGCCGATTTCCGGGTGAAGCCACATCCAGTACGGATTTATCCATCTACCAACATCAACAGAATAGCGATGGTTCATATGTGTATTTGTCAATTTTTTTTTTCATTTCTTTCAGATATTTCTGCCTTATGTGAAATTTTCCAATGTCTAAACATCTCCCCATCTGCATTCTCCCTCTTGTAGAAATTGTGAAACCGAGGAATAGAATAGCAGGGCAGAAAAAAAAAGGGTGTTTTCTCAGTAGTAGAAACACAAACACACATGACATAAAACAATCGAGGTATGCAAGTAAGGATGAGCAGACAGCAAAAGCAATGAACCCACTCGCCTGGCACCCTGCTATGTTGGTATATTGACAATGATAACTGATGATGGTGATGATCATGCCGGTCGGATATAATATTCAAAGATGCGTTGCCAGTCACAGCACACAAGAGCAAAATAGAACAACAATCAAGAGAAAAGCAAGAGAAAGGGGCCTGTATGTATAAGAGACAATGCCTGCGCTCCATTTTTGTATATCGAGGGTCCCCGCGCACCATATTTGGTGGATGTTTTTGTGTATTCCGTTTCCCGTTTAGTGCACAAAGAGACGTTGCGAAAAGATGTTGATAGCCTGCCAAATCCGGGCAGTGCAGTCGACGAAAAAAAGAAGAAGAAAAAAGTCGAACGAAGAAGATGAAGAACGGGGCACATATACCGTATGCAATTCATGCGAATAACCCGTGGTAGCCAGCCATACCCCCTGTTTGCCAATTTCCGTTATTTAACCTTGCAAAACGCCAATATTCAACACGAAAAAAAGAAGAGAATGAAAAGCAAAGTGTCATATACCACCATGAAGAGGTAGCGAAGCAAGTGCAACCGAAATCATATCATCTGCATGAGGACGTCGCCTCGTTTATACACTACCAAAACACCTTCCCTCGCAAGGGGGAGGATAGTTGGCAGAAAGATTGAGTTTCGCAATAAACGAAAAGATCGCGCTGCGATAGAAGGTGCACAAAAGCTGTGTCACATCGCACAGGCTTTTTGATGTATGTATTGAGATCAATTCTCGAACCAAACATGTCGGCGACTCAGCTCGACCACGGGAAGGCGGACAGCACGGGGCACGTTCTGCACTGCAACGCGCAACAGTCGCAATGCGAAGCATAGACCGACTTCAGTCACGTCTTCAGCCGCCTTTTCTCAGAGATTCATCCGCAGGAAGTGGCTCAGCGCCACTCTGCAAGCCATGTCGGTGCTCCGTAGAGTGCTTGGCATTCCTTTTTGGCTTTCTGCTCTTGGGCATCTGCCAGCCGCTGCTGGCATGGTTCACTGCGGAATCCTGTGTGGAACTAACCCCGTTTGACTTTCGTGGCTGCGAACCTGCATTTCGTCTCTCGTTGTCGCCGGACCCAGACGAAGAATTGTGGTTCTTGGATTTGGCCTTGTGGGTACCTCCATTGGCTCTTTCCGATGACTCAACGCCGTTGACACGGCGCTTCCCAGTAGACGTTGCAGGTTGCTGTTCAGTCACTGAAGAAGTACCCGAGGTCGACTTTCCTTTCTCTGGTCCATGGACCTGTCTCGGTCGGGAAGCCTCTTTGTCCACATGTTCTTGTTGACTCGGGACATTCTTAGGTTTCTCGGGTCCACCACGAGCCACAGGCTCGGCTATCTTCTCTGAATTTGACAGATGCAGACTTTGCAGACGGCTGGAAAGCAGACTATGCTTTCCTCCATGGCCATTGACAAAGGGATCGCTGACTTTGCCTGTAGGATATGACTCAATCCCTTGCCGTGCGAAATAAGGTGCCGGGTCAATCTCGACGGAGCTGTTATCCGGATAGTCTTGGGAAAACGAGTCGGAGACACTGGCAGGAGTGTCCGTGTTGATCTCATCCGAGGCGGATGTACAATGGCTCATGGTAGCATACGGGTCATAGTGTTCTGCTGAGGCTGAGAGACGCGGTTCACTGGGAGGCACAGAGCCATCCACGATCAATGGGCCGCCACGATCCCCTGAGGGTGCCGATCGAGAGGATGCACGCTGTTGCGAAGCAGACTTGGTAGGAAAGGAGTTAGCACCGTCTACGCCCTGGCCAGCTACCTCGTTGGAAGACATAGACTGCATGTATTCCTGGGAACTTCCGACAAAGGGCATCATGCCACCGTTCTGCATTGTAAGCCCCACCGGAGACGAGAGGGAGGACAACAGAGTGTTCTGGTGATACGCCTGCAATTGCGGAGAGGTCGCCAGGAAATAACCCATATATTCGTTCGTTCGGCTCTCGTCAAAATAACCCGAGCGAGAAACGTTGGGTAGGCTGCTGGGCATGAAGGAGCTTTCGTTCTCTTCCTGCGTGCCGTCTGGAGAACCAGGCATGTTGCGCGACTTCGACGTCGGCGAGCCGTCCGCTGCTTGAGAGATAGAGTAGAGCGGAGCATAGCTTGGGAGGGAGTTTACAGGGCGTGCCGGTTGCGAATGTGCCCGCAATGACCCGCTTGGTGACCCGTTCGCTACTGATGACCGGCGAGGACTGCGTCTCAGGTCCGGCATTGCAGTGGTTGCTGACGGCGACGGTGGATTGGTGCTGCTCCCTTGCACACCTGGAACAGTGACGGGGAGGTACGGGGTGCTATAGTAGACCGGCTGACGAAGTGATGCACCGTGCGTTTGATGATTCGTTGTTCCGGATCTTGACCGTGAGTTGTCCTCTGTAGAGGTTTCCTGCTGCTGGGGCATTGGGAACTGGATGAACGGTTGCCGAATGAGGACAGGCGGAGGACGTCCTGTCAAGAGCGCCTGATTTTGCAGTTGGAGTCGCAGTTCTTGTTCCTGGGCTTGAAGAATCTGAATTTGTTGGTAGAGATGATCATGTAGGAGATATTGGGCATGCTGAGCTTGCAAAGATAGTTCGGACGCACTCATACCGTTGGGTTGTCGGAAGCTATTCGACTTATTGGGGGTGTTGGAAGCCCTCCGGCCACCAGAATTTCCGCCGCGGCCGAATTGATTTGAATGTCTTCCACCTCGACCGCCCCCACGACCACCTCGAGAGGGTGGTGGTGCTGCAGTGATGACCGGCCGCGGTTGCGGGGGAGGTCTCTCCCATGAACGCTCCTCTTCTGGCGGGTACTCGTACTGTTCGCAGCAAAGCTCCAGGTTGCCCTCGGAAACGGCCTTGAAGGCCCGGCGGAGCTCCATGTGAACCCCCCGAAATGACGTATCGTCTGCGGTGTTACCCAGGTTTCGAGACGTGTTGAAAGGTTCTTCAACACACAGGCGATTGTTTTGCAACAAGTGCCATCTCTTAGCCTCCTTTGACAAGAGCTTTCCCTCCCTTACGGAGATCACGTTTTTCTCGTAGTCCAGCTCATGGCCGTAGTACCGAAAGAATTGGAAGAGCAACTCTCCAAGGGACTGCTTGTTTTGTCGTCCAAAACCGACGAGGGAATCAAGATCATCATCGAAGGAGCAAACAATGCCGTCCGCGGTTGTTTTCTTCTTGTGAGGTCGAGCCTGGAGGCTCGGCAGAATGGGAGGATCCCGCGTTTGCAAGAAATTGATAATCAGACAGATCCACGTATAAGAACTCAGGGTGCCTCCAAGTCCTGAAATCCAACGGGTCAGTGTCAGCCATCAAACAAGGAGAGGCCACTGCAGCGGGGCAAGAAAAGAGCGGCGAACGGAGCGTGCGCTGCAGGCCATGGATCCAGATTCTGACACGTACCGGCATCATTCAATATCCTCCGCTTTGTCCAATGTTTCACGATCATGGCCAGGGGCCGAATGCGCTCGTCCAACTCTACGTACGTCCGGACCATCCGCGTGTTCTCCAAGGCCATGGTATTGTTGACGTTCATGTCACATGCTAATTGCAGCTCCGGGTCCCAGATCTTAACGATGGGGACTTTGGCGTGCGAAACGCAAACGACTCGCTCCATGCCATCTGTAGTGCATCACCGTTAGAGTTGCGGCACAGATCAAGATCAAGATCGAAACAGTCTCCTTACGTTTTGCGAGAACCTCCGCCAGCAGACACACGTGCTCCAGCTCTTTATAGGTGGTGGTTATACAGATGTCAACTATACCTCGAGTCAGCGGCCAGTCCTCACGTGGGGGGTCATCAACTTCCACCCCTGCCCGGGTGGCAGCCAAGTACATACCATCCGAATCACTCGAACAGAGTTTATTCCCCGACGACCCAAAAACATGAACCTTAATATTACATCCCGGCCACTGATCATTGAACAGTTTTTCCAGCTTGCGGACGAGTTGCCGCCGTCGGTCGTCGCTCTCCGCTGATGGTAACAGTCGGTCGTAGACCTCCAGCATGTCGGCCGTAAGCCTTTGTTCCTCCTCGGGCTCCAGGCGCTCCTTCAAGCCCTCCTTCTCCTCCGGCAACAAGTCGGCCCCTATGGAGTACGGTATTCGTCTCCGGAAGAAAGCCATTGCCGTCTCGTACTTGCAGCCGCCATACTGTTTTCGCATCGAAGGGGGGAGGTGGGTGGACTCTGAGTGGGTGGAGCGGGGGGAGGTGCTCCCGTGGGGAGGCGAGGGCGATCGGGAATGAAAGGAGATTTTCCGCGCATGTTGGTACGGCGTGGAGGGCAAGGAGTTCGATTGCTGCGAAGACAATGGGGGGCGGTTCTTTGCCTCCGGAGACGTATTGGTCGATAACTTCCACGGCATCATCGAGGCCTTTTCCGAGGCTAGCGGAGACTTTCCACCTTGTACGGAAGAGATATTAGCATTCCCATGGGTGTCTGAGAGCATATAGTGACTCCAACGTTGCCGCCAACGTTGGCCTCCAAGAAGGTGCGATCGGAAGAAATCCCGCTGTTGTCGTGCTCAAATGGCGTGGGTGCGCAGATCCACCGAGGAAATTCCAACTTTGCGGACCAGAAACCGTTCAACTACCGGGGAATAGATAACCCGTCAACGATCGTATGCACCGAAATGCGTAACCGAGGGAAACGGCGACGGCGTGCCTGCAAGGCGAAAGGTGCTGGAGGAAGGGAGAAGGCAAGCGGGTTTCGAGGGGAAATCGACAGAGCAATCGGCCGGCGACGTAGGAGGGGGGGGGGAGGTGCAGCAAAAATGTCTTTGTGCTGCTTTCCACGGAGGAAAGAGTTCACAACCCCGGAGGTGGGATTTCCACCACCACGAAAGGAATTGAAGAGAAACAAAAATGAAAAAATCAAGGGGAAGGAAGCGAGACAAAAGTGAGCGCTGTTTCCCTTGAAGTTCAGAAAAGTGGAGGAGGTGTTTTTTTTCGGGGGAGAGAGGAGGAGGAGGAGGAGGAATTGCGTGGGTGGAATTGTTCAGCCGATCGACCACCAGATAGACACTGCAGTGTTTTAAGGGGAGAGAGCAATAGACTCTAGCGGGTAAGGGCACACTCCAAAAAACCACACAAGTAGAGGCGGGTAAATCCGAGTCTGGAGAAGAGAATAAGAAAGAGAAAGAGCACAGTGAATGAGTGCGTTCAGACTGTGTCCTTTTCGTTTCGTTCCTTTCTTTCTATCAGAATTGAAGGACCAGCCTGGTACGGAGTAGTGATCGATTGAATAGGGTGTGGGAAATATAGCGGGAATGCCAGTAGGTTGCTGGGAAAGGTTAATCGAGCAGCGGGCGGCGGAAGAGGGAATCTAATTGAGGGCGATCGGCTGGAGAGCAGCCGCAGTGCAGCAGCAGCAGCAGAGCCTGAGCCAGAGCCAGGGGGGGGGAGAGAGGGGGGGGAGTGTTCCCGCTACTGTAGTCCCGCCGGCCAACGGCGGTAACTGCTGTCGAAACGGGCACGGCCGGCACAGCGGCAGTCGCTGCAGTCACTGACTGCACTTGACTAAAGTATGCACTGTGTTGCGCCG